CAAAGTAACGACTGCGGCTGCTGCTGTTGGTGTTGCTACTATGGCGCTTGAGCTGTTGGAAAGCAATTAATGAACGTAATTGTGGTGCCTATAATGATTGTGGCTACCGCAGCACAATGGAGCGGAATTTCATAGAAAAAAAAATTATGAAACAAGCAACAAGTGTTTTGTTTTATTATTTCTCTATATACATATATGTGTGTTTAGCTATTACATATAAATATACCCAACGATATAACAACACTTGTACTAGATTTGCAACGCATGGTGGTGTTCACATTGTGCCAAATGTTGGCATGGAACACATTATATGGTTTAATGTGTTTTGATGACTGACTGGAAGTAAATGAGTAACAGCAATGGTACGCATTATATAAACAAAAGAAGCATAATTTGAAACAATTATTCAAGGTTAAATACCACAATATACAAACTCTAAGAATATTCAAAATTTTAATAAAAAATAATCATAATTTCATAATATTCATAACATTAAATTACTAAGAAAATCATTATGATTCACTTTTAAAAAATGCGTGTGAATGAAATAAAGCATTCCGAGAAAGATGAAGACTTAAAATAAAATTAAAAGGGTCTCAATGTACACTCAAAAGAATGAAAAGGAATGTGTTTAGCTTTTTTAAAAATCGGCTCCAAAACTATCATTCACATTTTTTGGGGCTTTTTAAAAAAAGTAAAAGTATTTTCTAAATCCTACGAAAAATGTCTCAGTTTACACTCAAAAGAATTAAAAGCAATATGCATAGCTTTTTTTTAAGTAATGAGATCCAAAACGTTAATGATAAGAGGAGTAAAAGAATTTTGTAGATCCTACGAAGTTCCATCCCCTATTTATGTGGCTACCTTTTCCAAAAATAAGTTCTAACGTTAATTATAAGGAGTAAGAGCATTTTGTAGATCTTACGAAGATCCATCCTATATTTGTCTCTAACTTTTCTAAAAAAAGCCAAACCATCATTTACATTTACATTTGGGGTTTTTTACGTTAATAGTAAGACGAGTAAGAGTACTTTTTAGATCTTACGAAGTCCCATCCCCTATTTATGTGGCTACCAAAAATGTCGCTTATTTTCAAAAATAAGTTCTTAAACTATCATTTACATTTTTGGCGTTTTTACGTTAATAATAAGGTGTAAAGGTGTTGTGTAGATCCTAGGAAGTTTCATCAGGTATTTGTGTCTACCTTCTTCAAACATACCATATGTTCCAAAATCATCATTTACATTTGGTAATTTTTACGTTAATGGTAAGAAGTAAGAATATTTTCTAAATCTTATGTAGTTCCATTTCAAGCTTTGTCAAAACTTCAAGGTGGTTTCTTAACTTATAAGTTTTCTTATACGGTATTATTATTTTTTATTACTAAAACGATTATTATTAAAACGATGTCATGAAATCGCCCAACATCCGGTATTGCGGTCAGAAGAGTCCTATTGTACCAACTTCACTCGTTATTACATAAAGCACTTTGAAGCTTTGTGAACAAAGTCTAGAACTAAATCTGGAGAAGAGCTTTTATTCTAAAATAGGTTAAAGCTGGACAGTCACAAAGAATATGCATAGCTGTTTTCTTATCTTCGAAACATAAACTGCATTCCGAATTAGCAGATAATTGATATTTATATAGGAGTGATATTTCACACCATTATGACCCGTAATGAAACGCTTTAGCAATCTTAAATTACCTTTTGAAAATTTAAGAATGATTTTGTAGGAGTACAATTACATAATGGATCAATATAATCTTAAGAAGATCCTTAGGAACTCTATATTTCTGAAGAATGAAAGACATAAACCAAGCAGATAACATAAGGGGAATTAAATGACGAATACATGCGTTAGGATTTAGGTATGCTTTGCTATTATGTGAGGAGAGGGGATTACCTGGGAACAAGAAAGGAATGAGGATGAGTGGGTTTTTAATTGAAGTTACATCGGGTAAAGGCGGAGACACTTATATTTTGAGAAAGTTCATTCCCTTTGACAACTATACTGAAATTTTTGTTTTTTTTTTTTTTGAAAAATTATAAATTATATTGTAAGAAAACTATTTGGTCAGCAAATTAAAATTGATACTTTGTGGTTTAAAAAACTCCAATACTACTTACAAATAATATTTATGTATGTATATTTCCCTTTTGCTTTAGAAAGGTGGCTGACTAATAGTTCACATGACCTCCGTCCGAACAATGACTAAGCAAAATTTTTAAAAGTATTTCTTTTCATATTAAAACGACAACTTCTATTTGCGTAATTGGTTACAAATAATTTAATATATTAAACAATATAAAATTATGGAAACCACTGGCGTTAAAAATCTATTTTTCCAATAATATAAAAAAAATAAGAAAGATCTAAATATATTACTTAAAACTGCACAAAGGTTTACCAAACGTAAATTATTCAACCATTTTTAATGACTAGAAATTCTAAAAATATTAGTCTTAATATTTATATATATATATATATATTAAAATTAAAAAATAATAAAATAATGTCACGACACATACATTTTTAGCTTGTTGTGTGGTCCGCAGTAATATAAAGCAGATAATATGAAAGGAATTAGAAACACGTATATATGCTTTAGCATGTTAATAGAGAATTGCTTAGGAGTAAGAATGGATTGGACATGATTGGGATTTAAATTGAAGTCAAAAAGGATCAGTGTAGAAAAACATAGCCACTTTAATGGGGCGAGGCGAAAGATCGAATTGTCAAGTGACAATTTAACACATACCTATATCCTGTTCTCAACTGAGTTAGGACAGCTCGTGCTGCACGCGGAAGGCATCGTTCTTCCCCGAAGATGAACTATACAAGGTGAACCTGTTACTGACTTAGATTTCATTACTTGTTTAATCCATATTGACCATGCAGTGTATAGTGACTGATTAGCATTTTCGTCGTTATGTCATAATTATGAGAAAAATTATTAAATCTAATATTTAATCTCCGAGCAAGGTTTTATGTGACACTGTATAGTAAGCCTAATCATTATAAAACACATTTGTTTTTGAGGTACTCTCTCAGAGAGAGCGTTAGATTTTTTTTTTGACAATTAAGAGAGGCTGAGGCTTAACTTGCATATTATTGAATACTACCATTGTCAAGAAGATAATAAAGTTTGAATGAAATTTTAAATCTCGTAGCATGGCTTCACATGCAATAGTAATCAGTCTGTATACTCATTGTTATCAACCAAGTCTCACTATGTGTAACCAAATACTCACTGTGAACAGCGAAATACTCAATGTGGTCACTGAATATATTTACCCTAAAATACATGTTTTAGAGAGTATATCACTGAGAGAAGAAGGGGACCCTTCTTCATTGAGTACTTTCACTATCTTTTTTAGGAAAATTTCTACACCTAACAAGCTTGATGCTACCTAACAACAGTATTATATATTTAAATAAAAATAATTGATTTATAACTAATTTTTTACATATATTTAATAATTTCGGATTTGTATTTATTTTTTAATTATTTATTGTTAAAAACATAATACATTCATTAATATTAAGAAGATAATAAATTTTTTTTGTTTTGTTTAATTTTTTAATAATATTATGTTTTAGAAATTAGATAGTAATTTATTAGATTTTATTCTTTTAATTTTTATATATATTATATATAAATTTTAAATTTAATAAGTGGGACTTTTCACGATTTTCTTTATATTTTAAGTTTATTTTTTAAACATGATTGATTTGCATTATATATTTTTTTAAATTTATTAATTATTTAAACGGCTATAAATTTTCAATTTTTTTTTTTTATCAATAATAATAAAAAATTGTGTTTGTGTAGGTGTGTGTATGTGTTTATGTATCTCTTTTCTTGATTTAATAATTTATTAAAAAATTTCACAAATAATATAATATTTGTTTGTTTGTAAATTTGTATAGAAGTACATTGTATAGTGTAAAATATTTAATTTTCTGGTATTTTACTTAATGAATGTTTTTGTTTTTATTTTTATTTTTATTTCTATTCTTGTTTCTGTTTTTGTTTTGTTAATAATTAAACATTACGACACCATGATTACTTTTACGTATTGCATATTCCTAAATATTTTTTTTATATCGGTTTTTTATCGGTTTTAAATTTATTGTTAAATATTTTTTGTTCACATGGAAAACAATCAGGCAAAAACATAAAATATATAACAAATAAATTAGGCATATACTGGAAAATTTAACATATATATATAAAGTTTTTTTTTTGTTTTTATAATTAATTTCCTATACAAAATCTGAAGCGTTGAGATTAAAGAGGTGATCATTTAAACTTTAAAAGTAATTAATTTTGAAAATAATTTTTAAGTTATAAATTTTATCTTTTATGTGGAAAGAGATTTTTAAAATATAAATTTTATTTTTTTAAGTTGAAAATATTATTTAATTTTTTTTAAGTTGGAAATAATTTTAAAGTATAAAAGTTTTAATTTTTACTATTTTTACTGTTGAAAATTGAGTTAAAAATCTCACTCTGTTTTAGTTATTTGAAATATTTTTCACTGTTAAACATTTATGGATGAGTTTAGGATTTTTTACTTCAAGTTCAAGCCTTTTGTATGCAGCATCTATGTTTATATTTCGAACTATATTTTTTGTGAGAATTATGTTTAGTAATATTTTTATCAGACTATATTATTGGAATAAAAATTGTTAAAAATATTTACTACTTTTATCTATATTTTTATTGACATACAAAAATGTAGGAATGATTAGAGTCTAACATGTGTTTATGGAGTCTTGTAGTACCGCACTTTACTACTCTTCTCTCTCTCTATATATATATATATATGTGTATATATATCTGTATATATCAGTATTTAGTATTTAAATGAACACCTCTTCTTCGGCTTCCTATTTGCTTAGAATAATGTATACAATATGGGTTTTGCGTAAAATTTGTGGATTTCAGTTTTACACAAATTACAACATTTGTTATTTTATTTTTGTTTTTGTTTTTGTTTTTGTTTTTTTTTTGTTGTGTTTGATAAGAAAAGCAAAAATCTTGGTATAATTAAAAAAATATATATGTGAGGAAATATAAAATGTAGTCTTATAGTAGAACACATAGGGATTTCTTCGGTTTTTTCTGCTTTTTCTCTGGCGATTTTTTATTAATTTGTCTAACAAGATCATAGAAAATATCATTAACATTTACTTTTGCTTTGGCAGATGTTTCCATGAAGGCGCAGTTAAATTGATTAGCCAAACTTTTGCCTAACTCCTTACCGACTACACGTTCATCCTCTAAGTCGCATTTGTTACCCACTAGTACCATTGGCACATCCTCTGTATCCTTAACCCGTAGAATTTGTTCGCGTAAATCCTGTAAATCATTAAATGTTGATTGTGCGGTTATGGAATAGACAAGCACGAAACCTTGCCCATTCTTCATGTAGAGATCGCGCATGGCGGTGAATTGCTCTGTACCGGCCGTATCTAAGATCTCGAGCATACACTGCTGACCATCAACCTCCACCTGCTTGCGATAACTGTCCTCGATTGTAGGATCATATTTCTCGACGAATATACACTGTACGAATTGGACGGTCAGCGCCGATTTACCAACACCGCCACTGCCTAATACAACGATTTTATATTCACGCATTTTACTTTCTTTACTTTACTTTACTTTTTTTTTTGCTTTTTTTTGTTTGTTGCTTAACTGCTTCAACTTTTTTGGCCTCTTTAAGGGCGTTTAGTTTTAAACTAAGTTTTAAGCGTTTCTTTTTTGATTTCGATTTCGATTTTTTGTTTATAATATTAAATATTTAGTTGATTGAAGACTTTGTATGCCCTTAAACTAGGCGTGTTATCACTTTGCTTTTTACTTTGCTGCTTTTTGGTTAGTTTTGTATAATTCACCAAGCGTTACTCTCTTTTCAGTTTTACTCTAAGTTCGTTTAAATAAAATATTTAAAATGGAATTTTTACGTACGTAGTTTTGCTTTTGTTCAGCCTTTTACATTTATCAAAATCTTTTTTTTTTTTTTTATATATTAATTGATAGTTTTACTTGAACTTGCACTTTGTTCCTGCTGCTTGAACGTCGTCGAGTTGCGATACTTATGTGTATATTAATAAAAAAAAAATATATTAAAATATATCAAAAATTACTCAAATGTATGTTTGATGCGTAAATGCTGTCGTATAGCCGTATAGCCGGTGCGGTGCTTCTACTTTATTTAATTGTTGTTCGCAGTTGAGCTTTGTAAACGCGTTTTTCTTTTGCTTGCTTCTATTGTAGAAAATTTCACCTAAAATTTTAAAAAATCACATTATTTTCGCAGATATCTCTTTCTTCTATGTAAATTAATTAACTCATCACATTTTCTTTTGTTTAGTTCTTTTTTGGTACTCAAAACTTATGACTCATTTTATCACTTTTTACCTTTTTATTTTCTTCGTGCTCGCTCCTATTCGTGCTTGTTCTTTGTGTTGTTGTTGCTATTGCTATTGCTGCTGCCGCCGCTGCTGTTGCACACACTTGTAATTTTAGGTATAAAGAAATATTAAACAAAAAATAACTCAACTCAAACGTAGATAAAGAAAAATGCTAGTGCAGAAGTTTCCGCTGCACTTATATACAGATTTTTTGTGCGAATTAAATATAAATTTATATAATTTTGTGCAAATACTTGGTGTATTTAACTTTAAAATACTTTAATAGACATTTAAATATTTTTTTATAAGTGTTTTCTGTATAAAATCACAAATAACATGAGCAGTAAAATTTTCTGCTGCTGTATCTCTTTCGCGACGCGTCACAGTAGCTCTGTTTAATGTTTAACACATGAGAGATGTTGCTCAAATATGTTCATAAATATGGACAGAGATTTGTTGAAAGAATTGATAAACAAAGCGCCAAATATTTTAAAATTTGAAAATATTTTAATTTTATATAAAACAGCTTATAACAATATAAATATTGTTTAAAGAAAAAACCAACAGATAAATATTTGGCCAGTTATTATAATTAACACAATAAATATTTAAATATTTATTATAAATATATATTCTTCTTCTTCTTATATGGCACTACAGTCCAGTGTGAACATTAGTCTCCTTCTTTTTTAAAGAAGATTGCTTAGCAGCTGTTTTTTTCTGATGCAAAGCTGCTGACCTTGCAATCAATCCCCAACCTAGAAGACTAGATTCCATATAAATACATCCATTTAACTATTTTTATAAATATGTATTTTTCTATATATATTCTTCTTATTTGGCACTACAGTCCAGTGCGAACTTTGGCCTCCTTCTTTTTTAAAGAAGGGTGTGTAGCTGGTGTTTTTTTTCGATGCGAAGCTGCTGACCTTGCGATCAACCCCCAGCCTGGAGGACAAAATCTTCTGCAAATGTGGAGATAAAATTAGTATTTGATAGTTAGAAATTTTCCCTTCTGTTATGTATTTTCTCGTATGCGAAAACAGGAATAACCACGTTTAGCTGACGTTGGCTGTTAAGATGGCTAGGCTGTTTATTCGCTTCATTTCCACATTAAGGCATTAATGCTTTAATGGGGAAATTATTTTTTAAATAATATGGGGAAATAATAAATAATGGGGAAATTATTATATTAAATAGTATTAAGGTATTACACTCCTAGATTAGGTTCTATACCAGTGGTTCCCAACATTTTTTGTGACCAAAAACCACTATGATGTTTTCGTGGTTCCAAGAACGACCGGGTCTACTTCCTAGAGCCACTTGTCGATCTCGACGACCAAGTAACATTCAACACCCCCAACACAGACAACACAAACAGGTCAAAACAGACTAGTATAATGTCTTTACAAGAAAACACGATCATTTCGTTTGATAAATGTTTCCTTATTGTAATGTTTAAATGTTTTTGATTCTTATTCTAGCTTAATAATTAACAATGACTTAATAATGTTAGTGCTCGTGTAAGCACTATCACAGCAGAGTAGCATGCATACTCTTTGTTATCTTAAGTGAGGACGCAGTGGAAAAGTTACAAGCTATGTATCCATATCTGTTAAATTTGATTCGCGAACTATTTTTAACCATCTCGCGGACCACCGGTTATAAACCACTGTTCTCTACAGATGCAGTAAGTAATGCCTTTACAAAAATAATAGCATTGAAATTTAACAATTAAAAATATAATTAATTAATTTTATTATTCTACAGCTGATTTATGATTTCCTTCTAATATAATAGCATAATAACTTTAATAACTTTCACAGCAAATTAGTAAAACTCCAAAAAAATGAAGTCAAGTTCGGCTTTGGATCAGTTAGCTAATGAACACTGACTCTGAGCCTTAAATTTAGCAGGGCACAAGTTCAACGCTTGATAGTTGCAGTCTTAAAAAATTATTTACGAACATTTAAATATAAGAAATATTTCTAAGACCCATCAAGGGTATTTGGCAATACTCCAAAGAGCTATCAGCCAAAAATTCAATTAGTTAATAAATAATAAAATGTTTACTGATCCAAACACCTCTATATTAAAAACAATAGTTTATATTAACAATTATTTTCTTTCATCAAATCTTATGTTAAAATTCAATTTAATTAAATAATAATATTTAAATATTAACAGTTGTAAGAAACGATTAAATATCAAGAATATTATTATAAATAAATTATATTATATATATGATTACTATCAGACATTGTAAAAATTTGATACGTCAAGGACCCTTCTGTAATAAAGTTTATTTGAAAACCACGATTTTTTAACTATTTTATATATGTTTGAACTTTTCTATATCTTTAATGCGTACTTCCCTTAGCAATGTAAGTTAGGTTATTGGTCTGACAACCTTGTACGCCAAAACTCACTTGAACTCAAATATACACCCGTTATGCTCATATGCCAACCAGAAGGACTCCCCAAGGAACCGCAATGACCAGCGTATAGAGAACGCTGATACGCACGATCTTTTAAGTGAAAGTGATTCAACCAGACAACCAGATACATATATATTTTCATAATTAAATAAACTTAACCTATAATTTTATAAAGAATAAAAAATCCAAAATTACTAACTAAATTTTTTATTATTTATGTATGTATACCAAAGCATTTCGTTATTTTTATTTATAAAAACAAGTTATATTAAAATAAAAACAACCATAAAAATCTAAACTAAAATTCCAAGAGTTCAACGAATTTTTGTAACCATTCCAGCAGCAATTGTAACGCCGCTCACTCTCAACATAACTCTGCCTAATTCCTTGAAGTCCGAGTAAAGTTCCATACAAATTGGACGTATCGTTTCCAATTCAACTAAGGCACATGTGTTATTACCCAGACAACGCGGTTTTTTCTTAACAACTTCACCTGTTCCCTTGTGAATTTGTGCTGTTAATTTCGATATAACAGCTGGTTCTATCAGTGACTGATGATGCAACAGCACTGGACAACCAATTGTGATTGGCACCTTCAAGTTAAAAACAAGTATACGTGCTTGGAAGCGACTAGTTACTTGTATAGGGTTTTGTGGATCATATATTATGGTACCAACAGCAATGTTGTTCAAATCGATACCAGAAAGTGTAACTGAAACTTGATCACCAGAAAATACATTGGTCTGTGGCATTTCATCTATCAGCAAGCCTTTCACTTGCGCCTGTTCGCGATTGGCACCTACTAATACTTTATCATTGGCACCTAATACGCCTGTTTCAATGCGTCCAGATATGCTTAAACCAGATCCAGTGCCTTTGAATATATCTGATACAGACATACGAAAAGGTCTATCTATAGGACGTTCTGGTATTTTGAAATTATCTATTACGCTTAACAAATGTGGACCATTATACCACTTCTTTAATTCAGTTGCAGTTGCAGGTTTGGAAAGATTTTCACCAGTTAAACCAGAACATGGTGTATAACTAACGTCAG